ACTATGAAGTTACTGCCTCAAAGTTCTGCACTAATTCTTGGGCATTCAGATAAAAGAGAATACTATTTCAAAGTAGTTGTCGTAACTTTGATGCCTTCCGAATATTCAAACTGTGGTCAATTTAACCAAATTTATCATATTTTAAAATTTGCAAATGCTTCGGTCAACGTCGACCCATAACAGCCTGCACTAGGTTTGAATGAAAACGGCTTACAAAGGATTGGCACGAAGTAGTAGGAAGGTCATGGGATCTATCTATGGATAATTATCCAGTGTAAACTATTCGACTATTCGGAAGGGCAAAGAAGTTCGACTGAACGGTTTAGCGGTAGACAAATGATTAAATTTTCTTTATTACAGGTATCACTTATATACTAGAACAGGGAATCACTGGTTGCTTCGATTCGGATACTCTAACACTCCTCCTCGACATCGAATGCTAGAATTCCTGTCGCTTCTCGCAGTTTATCCAACTTCACACTGGTTAACGGCTTCGTCATCATGTCTGCCAACATGTCTTCTGTGGGGCAGTACAGCAAACTAATGATGTTCTTGTTCTTCAGATCCTTGACGAAACAGTACTTCGTATCCACGTGTTTCGATCGCTGATCCACTTTCTCGTTCTCTACCTGCCGAATGCAGCTTTGATTGTCCTCACGTATGCAGATGGGATGATTGACTTGCTTCCCTAGGTCCTTCAGCAATTTCAGCAACCATTGCACTTCCTGACAAGCCTCAGCCAGGGCGATGAATTCAGACTCAGTGGACGAAAGCGCCACACATGACTGCTTTCTTGATGCCCAACTCACAACGCCATTACCGAGGAAGATTAGAAATCCAGACGTTGATTTTCTATCTCGGGTGTCCCCGGCCCAGTCAGCATCGCAATAGACCATCAATGCAGCGTTCGATGATCCAAGCTGCACCGCGAAATTTCGTGTGTGGACAAGGTACCGCAGCACCCTTTTGGCTTCAATCCAATCCTTGGTCCTCGATTTACTAACGGACCGTCCCAGAATTGAAGCGCTGATGGAAATATCCGGCCGTGAGTTTACCGCGATATATAGCAAACCTCCTACCAGACTTTGATAAAGGTCGCCTTTTGGTAGCTCCGCCGAATTCTCCTCCTTTTGCTGATATCCGGGATCCATTGGAATTTTCGAGCCCTTGGCTTCCGAGAGACCAAACTGGCCGGCAAGTTTCAATATGTATGCCTGTTGATTTAAACGGTAACCGTTGGCGGATTTAGTTACCTGAATTCCAAGGAACACTTGAATGTCGCCCAAGACTGTCAATTTGAAGCATCGTTGCAAATCGTGAACTACTTCACGGAACTCTATTTCGCTGTGGCACACGACAAGAATATCGTCAACATAGATGAGGATGAACGATTTCTGTCCCTTCGTTGTCCGGACGTAGAGGCACGCATCTGCCACCGACTGACAAAATCCAGCTTTCTTAAAGACATCGTCAATCGTCCGATTCCATACTCTTGCCGCTTGTTTTAACCCATATAGACTGCGATTGACCCGGCACACGCCCGTTCCATTCGGACCCTTGGTTTCGTATCCTGGCGGCTGCTTCATGTAGACCTCTTCTTTTAAAGCTCCATACAAGTACGCCGTCTTGATGTCCAGGTGCTTCACCAGAAGCTTACGTTCTGCTGCGATGGTCAATATCGTCCGAAACGTAACTTGACGAGCTACAGGTGCAAAAACTTCATCGAAGTCGGTCCCATACTTCTGTGAAAAGCCTTGCGCAACCAGCCTGGCTTTATACCGGACAACGTTTCCTGTGGTGTCTTCCTTCTGCTTATACACCCACTTGCATCCAACGGGCTTGCGGTTCTCGGGCAGATCAACAATCTCCCAAGTGTCATTCTCCATCAACGACCGGAATTCCTCATCCATCGCTGCCATCCAATACTCACGATTGATCCCATTGATTGCTTCACGGTAGTTTCGTGGCTCTCGTTCGCCACTAGATGCTGCTTGGACTGTCTCACTATATCGAGCTGGTCGGATACCTTTCGTGGTTCGGCTCGATCTTCTGACTTGACATGTTTCATCGTCGTCGTCCTCGATCAATGTGGCATCTCCATCATCCGATTCGTCATCGTATTCTGAATCGTCCGACAAGATACTTGAGCTCTCATCGTTCGAATTTTCTTCCTCGATCTCACCGACTGGATTGACATCAGTGTTGATTGGTTTGCTGAATTCGAATTCAATCACCTCTTCCACTGGTAGCGATTCCACTGCCCGGTCCAAGGAACGCTCGGACACTTCCGACGCGGTGTGCTCCTCCTCAACGAAATTGGCATCTCGGCTGACGATTACTTTCCTTGTAGATCGATCCAAAAAACGATACGCCTTATGGTCCAACGAATATCCAACAAACGTTAGCTTCTTTGCTGTCGGATTCATTTTCTTGCGCTTTTGTTTGGGGACGTGAACGAATGCAGCACATCCAAATGCTTTCAAATGCGCTACGTCCGGCATTGTTCCAGTCCAAAGCTCGAACGGTGTTTTGGGAATTGACTTCGATGGTAACCTGTTCTGTAAATAGACAGCAGTACTTACGGCTTCTGCCCAGTAGCACTCCGGAAGCATTGCATCGAATAACATGCAGCGACTCATCTCGACCAGGTACCAGTTCTTCCTCCCGGCGACTCCATTTTGCTGGGGAGAGTAGCTGGCGGTAAACTGTGGCTTGATTCCTTCTTGCTTGTAGAATTTCATCAGCTCGTTTCCGGTGTACTCACCACCCTGGTCGGATCGGATGGCTTTCGGCTTTCGTCCGAACTGGGTTTTCACGTATGCCACATATTCCTTCAGCTTCTCTGGAACCTCCTCCTTCTTCCGCAGCAGATACAGCACACAGAATCGACTGTAGTCATCAATGACGGTCATGAAGTACCGATAACCAGACGCTGATGCATTGTCGATCGGGCCACAAACGTCTGTGTGCACAATGTCCAGCATTGCACGAGATTTGCGTTCGACCGATTTAGGGAATGACTTTCTGCATAGCTTCGCTCGCTGACAACATTCGCATCCTTGCTTGACTCCGCAGTCGTACACCTTCAAGCCGGTCACCAGATTCTTCTTCAGCATCACGCTTAGAGCTTCAGGATCCCGATGTCCAAATCTTCGGTGCCAGACGTGCTGACAATCAACTTCGTGGTGGTCGTTCACAGCCATCGAAACTTCACAAGTCGTTTTCACCTTATAAAGGCCACTTGTTTTCTCGGCGACAATTGCCACGGTACCACCAACAAGAACACGACATCCTCCAGCGTTGAACATCACAGCAGCTCCCTTCTCTGTGAGCTTTGGCACTGACATCAGGTTCATTTCCAAGCTTGGAACAAACAACACGTTGCTTAGAGACACATCGGTTGTTTTTCCGTCTCCATGGTAACACGAAATTTTTCCGCTACCAGCACCTTCGACCTTCGCAACTTTTCCATCAGCCAGAGTAACGGTTTTCACTTGGCTCTTCTGGATTTCCTCGAAAAAATCGGAGTCACAGCACATGTGCGCGGACGCACCTGAATCCACAATCCATTCCGCATGGTCCAATTGCTCATGCACTCCCAAAGCAAACGTAACGGTTTCGTTTTCACTGCGCACGCTTTTCACCTTCGGGGATTTTTCCTTACCGTCAACCGATTCCTTCGCATACAGCCTGCATTCCGATTGCTTGTGTCCAGGTTTCTTGCAGAAATGGCACGTTAACGGCTTCTTCTTCTTCTTCTGGAATCCTGCTTTCATCGCTGAACTTGAAGAACCTTGACTTCGTCTCTTCGCCACTTCATCTAACAGCTTCCCTTTCACCAGCTCCAGTTTCAGCTCCTCATCGGACCGGCTTTCCAGGGCCGTGGTCAACGTATCGAACGAATCAGGCAGGCTCCTAAGAACGAGGGCGACCATTAACGCTTCACCCAGGTTCAGTCCAGCGCACGACAGCTTCGTGAACAACTCTTCCAGCTCGAAAAGATGATTCTGCATGTCGTCCCCGTCGTTGAATGATATGTTGCAAATCCGTTTCAGCAGCGCAACCTTGGAACAAAGGGATGTTTTTTTCGTGGTGTTTCTTGAGGCTTTCCCAGGCTTCCTTGGCGTTCTTCGTTTCGCGAATCAGCATCAGCAGCCCATAACCTATTGGACTATTCGGAAGGGCAAAGAAGTTCGACTGAACGGTTTAGCGGTAGACAAATGATTAAATTTTCTTTATTACAGGTATCACTTATATACTAGAACAGGGAATCACTGGTTGCTTCGATTCGGATACTCTAACATAAACCACTCTCTTTATTTATACAGCTATTCCACTTAGACGCCCACATTCATCAGGATTCACTTTTCGACAATGAGAAGCTGCAGAATTTAGGAAAATTTATCACCGTTGAACGTCTTTCTTTTACAGTTGGGGAATAAACGCAACAAGGTTGCTGTGTTACCGTGCATTGCTTGTTGAGCAACTCGAGTTACTCAGAGTTGCTCAAAATTAACTCAAATTTTACTCATGATCAAAAGCTGTCTTGCCCCCAGGGGAAATCCAGAAATGTTTTGACTGGCCAGTAAAATCCTTGGCTACTATGGTAGCTCGTAACAAACGCAGCTTACACCTCTAACTTAGGCTAATATTATTAAATGCATATTGAACTACTGAAAAAATTTGGATATCATTATCATAGCGGAAAATACACCCACAAAACTGAGTTGATCGACATCTATAATTATCACTTTCAAGTGCCGAAAAGCCCAATAACAAGTTCAAAGGACTATATGTTAACTCAGAGCTTCCTTTGTAGTTTTCTTTTGAATATCTCTCGACGTTCCCGTAAATATCAGATGCGGTATTCTCTAACAGTTAACCGGTAATTTCCTAGTGCCATAAGGCTACCGGATCAAAATAGTTTCCCCCCTTTGCCCGCATGAATGTGCTTACAAACTATTATATAATCATCAAACACACAGATTCCATCAACTTACGCTAAAATTAACTCCGTTCCTGGCTGTGTTCCTGATTGATCGATGAACAATGTCTCACCATGAGTACAGCTCGCTGCTGCAGCGGCACTCGATTCATAAAATCCTTCCACCGTCGTCACCGTCGTTCATCGAGCGCTTAACATATTTGGAGGAAAACTATCATCCATCTCCACCGTATTTTCACTCATGTTTTTATACATCACTATGCAACTATGTACATACATACACACAAACACACCCTGAGAGGAATGGGCAAATCACGCGCGGAAACTGTGCGACTCAAGAATCTGTTCCACATTCCAGTCCGGTTCCCTCCCCTTCCAAACGGGGGGCAATTCTTCTTCGAACAACTTGTCAGCTCTTGCAATTGCGGCACATCACACCAGCAGCAGCAGCAGCCTCACCATCATCTTATTAGCGGTCCTTCGAATCTCGAGCTCACACACACACCCGATTACCACCACCGGTGGTTCCGCACCCACCGAAAATCCTGACCACCTTGACGACGACGATTGATGCACCTCGCGGAAGGACTCTCCACTGGGACAGCTGGAACGCCACTAGCGCGCGTTTGGGGCCAAATTTCCACCACGGTTTGCTGGGCACATCAGCTTGGGAGCGCGCGCGAATCTACACTACCGTATTTTAAAATGTGAAGCGAGATGATTCTTCTGAAAACTGTGGACGATATCTACTCATTTTGCCATGGAGGGAGAGAGAGACTACTACGCTGGAATCTCTTCTCCTGATGTACAACCACGGGAGAAGGTTCAGATGGGCAGTGCTGCCAGACTGGGTTGTAACGATGCTGTGTTCTAAACTTTCGCTGGTTGAAACAATCTTGTGTTCACAAATTTTACATTGCGTTGAGAAGTTCAACAACAGTATCCATTCCGATTCTCCCGCGCATCCTTTCGACCAAGAGAGCAAGAGATGGATGATTCCGTTACCGATGAAAGCACGTGTCCCTGCTTCGGTCCAATGCGAGACCGAGATGCTGTGTGGAGAGCGAGCCATCGTTGGCGGGAAAACTCCGGTGGAAAGCAGCCTCAATAGCACTCTGTACGGCACGTTACCAGTGGATATAATGTAAAAGCGGTGGAGTCTTCTTGAGGAACCGATCCCGTTCGAGACGGACAGCCTAATCATAACGTTACGGCGAATCGAACGGGCCGCATCGTAGTCGGCTTCGACGGAGCTCTCGAGTGTTGTGGTTTTTCCCGCGTGAGTTTGACACAAAGTCGTCAAAGTTTCCTTCTAGCTTGCTTTTTTTTTTTTTTTGGTTACTAAAGTGGACAAACGCACAAACGGGATTTTGTGGTTCTGCAACGGGCGACCGGCACATATCGTGGGTGCGTGTGATTGTGAGCGCGGTATTAACTCACGTGGTTTTGCGGTTCGGACGGTTTGATTGAAGGTTCAAAGCAGCGAGTTGGAAGATTTGTGCCAACGGTAGAATGACGATTGCTTTGAGATCATAGCGGTGGAAAAGGTTCATCAAAATAGCCAAGAAAAGCTAGTTGTGTTAATTTTGGCTGTTGAAGTGTATTGGAAAGTTGTAGTGCGAATGGTAAGTACCGAAGGCATTCCTGTAATAGTGGTGTACCTTTAGGTGCGGTAAGGAGGTAGTCCGGAATAATAAGGGAAAACCGGAAAAGGTTATTTTTCATCAGTAGTGCTCCTAAAATAAAGCAGATTTGTATATTTCAAACTTAAAATTTGCACAAAGATTACGGAAAACAACAATTTTTGTTCTATGATTTTGGCTGCTTTGCACCTATAGTTGCGGTAGTGTTCCTATAATAGTGGAACCCAAAACAAACCAATGCGTTCCACTATTAAAGAAACCAAAGTTAGCAACTACCACAACTACTGGCTATAGGTTTGCATATAAAAATTGTATGTACATCGAGTATTTATTTTTCAATAAATAAATTGTCAAAGTTGCTCTACTTCTGGCTCATCCATCCACCCAGTATCATTCGGAAAAAATATCCATTGAATGCCAAAATTTGCAGCCAACTTTTCGGAACTTATATTTGCTTCTGAGTTTGGATTTCCTGTTTATAAAAGAATACACACATTTTATAAATTTGTAGCATTAGGCTTGAATGCCCTCAATGTGAACTTTAAAAGGTAAATTTTGGTCTTGTACTAGTCCAAGATATTTCATTTGGTTTGACCAGGAAAACTATGTGACTATGTGACTACTACTAGGTTTCACAAATGAAGCTCTAGGCTGTTGAGTTTTGGAAGCGTTGGGAGAAATCTTTCATTTTTGTATATAAGAAGAGAAAATTTCTAAACTTTTCTGCGGTCTGCTTCAAATAACACGAAGACTTCCTCCTTTAGCGGAAATGCCTGTGTCATCAGCGAACAAAGATTTGTGGCAACCCTGAGGCAAATCAGGGAGGTCCGAAGTGAAAAAAGGTTATACAATACAGGCCCGAGAATGCTACCCTGAGGAACTCTTGCTCTAACAGGTATTCGTACAGATTTGGAATTTTGATAATTTACCTGCAGAGCTCTGTCAGTTAAATAATTTTGAACTAATTTCATAACATAGAGTGAAAAATTAAACTTTTTGACGTAGGACTACGTCTGTGATTTCTACATGGGGGTACACTTTGTGAAAACCGAAAATAGAACATGTAACAAAATTATGAAAGATTTTGAACGTTAATAACTCAGCTGTCCCTGAACCAATTTCAATAATTTTATTACCAATCGATCAGAAATATGTCTACGCATCTGTTAAATTTAAGACTTTATCATTTTTCAAAATGGCACTATTGAAAATTGCACGAATGTGTAACTGTTGCTATGATAATTCAAATGATCACCAATTGCCTGCAAAAAGCGATTTCTCTAACACAGATTTAAACGTTGAATTCCATCCGGTCTCACTAAACGGTGTTTATTCAATCACCACGTGGTGAGTGATGGTGTTCTCCAGTACACAACGAAAGGCTGCCTGAAAGCAGTGAGCTGCAGCCCACATGACCATCCATAGAAGGAGGAAGCAGCCGCAGCGCTATTGATCGGAATCAGTAGCTCTTCGTGAGTCGCTGTGGGCCATCTTTGTCAAGCGCGTCATACTAAAGAGTGTAAACAGAAAGAACCCCGCTCAAATTCCTATTCCTACACAAGCTCCTACTGCAGTTAAAAAATAAGATTTATTATATAAGAACACGTAGTCCTACGTCACCATTGCGTACAACCCCATAGGGCTGTCCCTTGTAGTTTTCAATTTAGCAATCAAACCTTCATGCCAAACTCTGTCGAATGCTTTTTCGATGTCTAGAAAAGCAACTCCAGTTGAGCAGCCTTCAGATTTGTTTGACCGAATTAAATTGGTAACTCTTAAGAGTTGATGAATAGTTGAATGCCCATTGCGAAATCCAGACTGCTCATCTGCAAAAATCGAGTTCGTATTGATGTGAAGCTTCATTCCAAGGGGTAAGACAGCTACAGATCATGAGCAGTCTTCCGTAACTTGAGTAACTCACATTGCTCAGTGAGTAAGACCACTGTCATTTGCTTTCTCACTTTTCGCATCATAGCAACATATGGAGATGCGAAGCCGAAAAGCAGCTGTCAAGCAAAACAACAATAAAAAGGAAACATCCGGCTTGTTGTGGTAGAAGAACTCGATCCGCCAGACCAAGACTCCAGATCTGGCACATTATACGTACCCCGCACGTCCTCTGATACTCGTCAAAGGGATCCCGTTCCCATCGCTCGAAAATCTGCCGCTAGAGGAAGCTGCGAACCAAGCACTGGACTAGCATGGAGCCGTTCTCCTGCGGGTGGACATCCTCCCACTTCTAGAGCTACTGCTGTGCTATCTGAATCATCGGGATATGGTCCGTTATCTGCGATACACCACCGAGGCAAAGTCTATAGCGATGATCCTGTAGTTGGTTGAATCGGATTTATTCTTGAGAATCTTCTGATCTCCAAGACCCCTTTCCTTCCACTCTTTCTGAACCAGGAACTTGAAGCGAACGCAGAATATTTCTAGATAGAGCTGGAATTAGGGCGATTTCGACCATTTTGTATTAGTGTCCAATGGTGTCCCCACTGGTTTACACTCGGCCATTCCAAATCTTTCCAGGAGCCTTTCAACATACTGACTTTGAGAGACTTCAATGGTTTGATTGTCAAAATCTCGATTTATTTCCATTCCTAGGAAATGTTTTACCTCAGACAAATCTTTCATTTGGAATAACCTTCCAAGTTTTTCTTTGATCCACAATATATCATCTATATTTTTGGCAATTAAAAGAATGTCGTCTACATAGAGAATTAGGATGATTCCTTTGGACTTTGATTTGTAAATACAACAGTCATTTTTGAGTGGAACAAATTCTAGTTCTCTCATCGCATCATCGAAACGTTTGTTCCAAGATCTGCTTGCTTGTTTAAGTCCATACAAGCTTTTATGTAAACGAACAATTTGGCTTTGTCCGTTTTCTTTCGGTGGGAGTTTCATGAAGATTTCCTCTTCTAGATTCCCATTCAAAAATGCTGTTTTGACGGCCATTTGGTGTACAAGCAATTTGTGTTCGTTAGCCAGTGCAAGAGCTAAACGAACGCTTTCCAGTTTGGCAACAGGTGCGAATGTATCACTATAGTCAAATCCTGGCCGTTGTGAGCATCCCTTTGCCACTAACCGTGCTTTATACCGTCCATCTTCTTTCATTGAGAAAATCCATTTCGAATAAATTGGCTTGACTCCTTCTGGCACACAGTTTACCACTGTCCAAGTGTTATTATGATGCAATGCATCAAGCTCTTCTTGGAGTGCACGTTTCCACTCAGGCCAATCAAAAAGATTTTTCAGCTCTTCAATATTTTGCGGAATATCTTCGTTACGAATTATTGCCGTTTTCGCTGTGTACTCCGAATACCAACGTGGAGTTTTCCTATCCCTCTTGCTACGTCTTAATGGCTGCTTGTCTTCATCATCGTCTCTTTCATCGACTTGACTTTCATAAGTACTTTCATAATCAGTTTCACCAACTGATTCTTCTGCTGAAACGTTATCTTCTTGATTTTCTTCAATCAGCGTACTGTCTTCATTCCTCTGCTCTTCGTCAGAAGTTGATACCTGATCTTCAATATCTTGTCTTTGATCTTCATAGTTCTCTTTTCTATGCAATTGTGTACAAAAAAACAAATCCTGTTTTTCTGATTCGATTTCATGAGACAGTATCGTGGATTCATCGAATACAACGTTTCTACCTATTTCAATTGAACGTGTATCTGCATTCCACAATCTAAATCCATTGTTTGCGTAGCCCACAAAAATCAATAGTTTAGTTTTCGGATCTAGTTTATGACGTTTTTCCTTGGCGATTTGCTTGAAAGCTCTGCATCCGAAAATTCTCAAATGCTTCAAGTTTGGCTTCTTTTTAAACCACATTTCATATGGAGTTTTGTTTTCTTCTATCCCATTCGTAGGAGATCTGTTGATTAGGTATGTTGCTGTATATAATGCTTCACCCCACATTGCTTTAGGCAATTGACTATCGTAAAGCATTGCTCTTACCTTTTCCATCAACGATCTATTCATTCGTTCACTTACTCCATTTAGCTGTGGAGTGTATGGGACTGTGAACATCATTTGAATTCCGATTTTCTTACAATGATTTTGGAATTCAGTACTTGTGTATTCTCCGCATTATCACATCTAAGCATAGAAATACGTGCTTGAAAATATGAAGATGCCATAGCTTCAAACTCCTTGAATCGTTCGAAGACTTCAGATTTGTGTTTCATGAGGTAGACCACGAGAAAATGAGTATAGTCATCAATGAAGGTTACAAAGTAGCGGTAACCCTCATACGTTTCCTCTTGCATACTTCCACAAACATCTGAGTGAATTAACTCCAATGGTCGTTTTGATCTTGGCAATTTCATATCCTGAAATTTGAAAGCGGATTGCTTTCCTGCCAGACAGCCCTCACAAATACTTGTTTGATTCCGTTCTCCATATGATAGATTTCTACCTATTTCAGACCATCCCTCAACCATCCCTTTTGACATTAGTTTCTCCAAACCTGTAGCACTCAGGTGTCCCAAGTCTCTTATGCCAAGTAGTAAGACTCACCTGTTTTCCAATCAGTGCAGAACATGTTGCATTTTCTGAGGACTTTCCATCCCAAATACAATCAAGGTAGAACAAACCATCAATGAAACTTCCTGAAGCAATGACTTTATCTTCAGACTCAAAGATAACCTCTTTATTCGTAAAAGTGACCCTTTTCCCATGCTGGCTTGCCTTTCTAACCGAAAGAAGATTTTCTTCAAGTCTAGGAATGAAAAGAACATTGTACAATTCAAGACTCTTTATTGAATTTTTTGCCAACAACGCTCTTCAATCTCAACTTACCCATCTTCGTTGCCCGAAGATTTTCACCTGTCTTGGCGGTTGAGACAATCACTGGCTCCTCCAAATCCTTTACTTCGTCCAACAAGTCTTCGTCGTTGATCATGTGATCGCTGGCACCTGAATCAACAACGAATTTCACGCGTTTGGCACGATTACGCGGGGCATTCGGCTTC